ACGCCAGGTTAGGTGAGGCACGGGGTGCTTGTCTCGCTCCTAGGTTCGGGGCGTGACAGAAGCTCTCAAATGGGAACCTCTCAGAGGTCGCAATTGCGATGCCTGATCTCACAAATATTAGATCAGAGGCCTGCAATAATATCAGATGCCCAACAGTGTTTTCCAAGCCAAATCTCACTCCGTAGCCTATCCGAAACTCACCCGAGCTCTCGGGGCTCCAAACCAAACATGCACACAAGTCTAAAAATATCATACGAACTTGCTCGCGCGATCAAATCGCCAAATTAATACCTAGAACTACGAATTTAGTACCAAATCAAATGAAATTCTCAAGAACACTTTAAAATTTCTATTTTCTCAACTGGACATCCGAATCACGTCAAATCAACTCCATTTCTCACCAAATTTCACAGACAGGTCTTAAATATCATAATGAACCTGTACCGGACTCCGGAACCAAAATACGAACTCGATACTAACAATGCCAAATATCAATCAATTCTTATAAATAAATAATTTTCAAACTCTTAATTTTCATCAAAAATTCATAACTCAAGCTAGGGACCTCCGAATTTGATTCCGGGCATACGCCCAGGTCCCATAATTCGATACGCACCTACCAGAACAGTCAAAGCATGGATCCGGGCCCGTTTACCAAAAATGTTGACCGAAGTCAACTAAAATCAACTTTTAAGGAAAAAATTCTTATTTTCATTAGTTTTCAACATAAAAGCTTTCTGGAAACCTACTCGGACTGCGCATGCAAATCGAGGAGGGTAAAAATGATATTTTTAAGGCTTAAGAGCCCAGATTTGAGTTCTAAAACATAAGATGACCTTTTGGATCATCACATTTTCCACCTTTAAAACAACCGTTCGTCCTCGAACGGACATAGAAAAGTACCTGGGCTGGTAAAATTGTGGGGGTATCTACTCCGCATATCGGACTCGGACTCCCAAGTAGCTACCTCAATAGGCTGACCTCTCCACTGCACTCGAACTGAAGGGTAACTCTTTGATCTCAACTGGCGAACTTGCCGGGCTAGAATTGCCACTGGCTCCTCCTCGTATGTCAAATCCTTGTCCAACTGGACAGAGCTGAAATCTAACACATGGGACGGATCACCATGATATTTCCGGAACATAGACACATGGAATACCGGATGAACAGCTACTAAACTAGGTGGCAACGCAACCCTATAAGCCACCTCTCCCACTCTCTCCAGAATCTCAAAAGGTCCGATATACCTAGGGCTCAACTTGACCTTCTTTCCGAACCTCTTTACACCCTTCATAGGTGATACCCGATGTAATACCCTCTCTCTGACCATGAATGCCACATCACGAACTCTACGGTCGATATAACTCTTTTGCCTGGACTGAGCTGTACGAAGTCGATCCTGTATAATCTTGACCTTGTCCAATGCCTCCTGAACTAAATCTGTACCCAATAACCGAGCCTCCCCCGGCTCAAACCACCCAACTGGCGACCTACACCGTCTACCATATAATGCCTCATAGGGAGCCATCTAAATGCTCGGCTGATAGCTGTTATTGTAGGCAAACTCCGCTAAAGGCAAGAACTGATCCCAAGAATCTCCAAAGTCAATAACACAGGCGCAGAGCATATCCTCCAAGATCTGAATAGTACGCTCAGATTGTCTGTCCGTCTGAAGATGGAATGTTGTGCTCAACTCAACCCGCGTACCTAACTCACGCTGTACTACCCTCCAAAAGTGCAAGGTAAACTGCGTACCTCGATCAGAAATGATAGACACGGGCACACCGTGAAGACGGACAATCTCACGATTGTAAATCTCTGCCAACCACTCCGAGGAATAGGTAACTGCCACAGGAATGAAATACGTTGACTTAGTCAGCCTGTCCACAATAACCCAAACTGCATCGAACTTCCTCTGAGTCCAACAACAAAATCCATAGTGATACGCTTCCACTTCCACTTAGGAATTTCGAACTTGTGAAGCAAACCACCAGGTCTCTGATGCTCGTACTTAACTTGCTGACAATTCAGACACCGAGCTACATATACAACTATATCCTTTATCATTCTTCTCCACCAATAATGTTGCCACAAATCTTGATACATTTTGGCGGTACCTGGATGAATAGAATACCTAGAACTGTGTGCTTCTTCAAGAATTAATTTACAAAGACCCTCCACATTAGGCACACAAATACGACCCTGTATTTGCNATATATATATAATATACTGTAATTATTTGATTATATGTATGTTATTTGCTTGTCACGAATAATTAAGCTCTTACATACAAAGCACTAGAAATTTGTACTAAGTGGTTAAAACAACCTCATGATATGATCTATATCGATCATGTCGTATCATCAGATTTTTCTATTTTTAAAATATATTCACATAAATTTCAAATATTTTGAAAGAAACTACTCTGATAGAACCATATTAATTCTTTATATGATCTCATTAGTAATATATGTATGATAGTGATTACTTAACCTATATATTAAAATACAATTACTTTCTAGTACATTAAATAAAAAATACATTAAAACATACCTTTAAGTATTTAAGCGTCTCTCTCCTTTGAGAAGCTTAGTTGCGCTCGAGGTGTAGCACAGAGGTAGATGAAACTGACACAAAGATATCAAGTTCAATATAAAAAAAAGGTTAGGTGTTTCTTTTCTTGTGCCCTAAATCTCGATACGTACCCGTGAGAGAGTAGTAGCAGTCACAAACTAATACATACTATACTTGGTCAAGTTTGCTACTCACGTGTAAAATTGAATATAACTTAATGTACACAAACCTTGTGCTTTAGAAGTTTTCGGGGGGTGTAGAGGGTGGTATAAGCTCAATTCTTCCTACTTTTAATTTTCCTTGTGCTATTTAATGTAAAACCAATCATTTCTATCAACAATTACAATGATTCAATATTCTAAAATTAAAGTGTCATATTCGACGCTTCGCCTTCGCACATAAGAACGAAAGGAGAAAACAATGCTCTCTAGCCGGGATATCTCACGTGTCCGATAACGATAACTTAGCTATGGCCTTAGGTCATCTTTCCTCGATGCGAAAGAGCTATATAAGTAGTTTATCTGGGACGAATTCTTACTTACTTTTCTTAGCAATGGTAACGAAGGTATGCCAAGGGAAGCTCGTGCCAACCTATGTCTCAGTAGCTGCCCGAGAAAGGACCACTCAATCCAGACAGGTTCTCGCAACTGCCTTTCAAACAGGACCTCGAGAGGCATGACATACGTAAATAAAAATCTCCGTGAACATACGTTCAGTTCGCTTTAATTTAGATCTGTGATATCTTTTCTGTCTTTTCTATATATACCATGAACATGATCGAATTGCGTTATTTAACGCTCTAAAATCTTTCCTTAATTAAATCTATGATAGAAAATATATATTTAAAAAGCCTGAAACAAAATTAAGATGGAACAAATGGAATAAAAAAGCTTACTCGCTTTTCTCCTCATTTTTATGTCTTTCTGTGTCGCTCCATTATTTTTCTTTAAGTTTTGTTCATATATTTTATTTTCTATCAATTCACGTGTAACATAATACAAACATGGTAATTATAATACAGTGGCACACAGAGAACGTCACAGATGATCGATCCTAAGCGAGTAAGCCAGGTCCATCTCCAAATAATTGGTATTGCCTTAAAATTTTCACTAAAAATCTTCTCTTCATAAAAATTTAGAAACGAGGAAAAAGAAAAGTTTTAGACAGAATTTTCATTCTTCACAAATTCGCAAGTGGTAACTCTGTTTTGAAAGTATTTCCATTAGCCTCCCGAAATATGCTGCTAAAGTACAGGATATTTCTACGGTTATTGTAGCCAGTCAAGCAGAGAGAAACACAAGAGGGAGAGAAAATTTTAATCAGCAAAAAAGAGAAGAAAGAGCTGCACATACCTCATTTTCTCCCTTTTCATCTTCTTTCTCCAACTCCAGTAAATTCTCCTTCCTTTTAAATTATTCTCTCATTGTAAAACTGAATCTTTCATACTTTTCCATCTGTTTTACCACAAAATTCAGTATAACAGGTGTAAAATAATGTTCTACTACGTCCTTAATTAATTTGCTGTTTTTAATGAGATTTTATCGTAACATACCATGCATGCATGTTTAATCTTGAAGTCATTAAGGGTTGTTTTTGTTTCATTTCTTTCAGGTTAATACTGCCATCCTTGTGAATAGCTGAAGAGAAAAATAATCAGCAGTATATTAAAATATTTTTGAGACTTACAAGTCTGAAACATCATGGCTCCAAGCACGCTTAGAAAAGCAATTGGGGCAGTGAAGGACCAGACGAGCATAAGCTTGGCCAAAGTTGGCAGCAGTGCCTCCTTGTCCGATCTTGAAGTAGCCATCGTGAAGGCGACCCGACACGACGAGTACCCACCGGAGGAGAGGCATATAAGAGAGATTCTAAGCTTGACTTCTTATTCTCGAGCCTATGTTGGTGCATGTGTTAGTTTCATTTCCAGACGCCTTGGAAAGACCAAGAATTGGGTTGTGGCGCTTAAGGCACTCATGTTGATTCATAGGCTACTCTCTGATGGCGATCCGTCTTATGAGGAGGAGATTTTCTTTGCCACAAGGCGAGGAACCAGGCTTCTTAACATGTCTGATTTTCGTGACTCAAGATCTAACTCCTGGGATTGTTCTGCATTTGTACGATCTTATGCTTTGTACCTTGATGAACACCTGGAGTTTAAGATGCAGAACCGCAGGGGAAAACGCAGTGCATTTGCATATAACGATGATGAAGAAGAGGTTCGTCATAATGTCAAGAGGGTAAAAGCCACTCCGTTGAGGGAAATGAAGAATGATCGAGTTTTCTCAAGGATTCATCATCTCATGCAGCTCCTAGAGCGATTCTTAGCTTGTCGACCTGCAGGTTAGTATTTCCTAACTCCTCCACTTTTGCTTTAATATTTCTTGCCAATTTCAAAAATATATAATCGGCAATGCGTCTTATAAAGATCGAATATCAAATGCCAATATAGAATTAGCATAGAAATATAGTAGCTGAAATGAAGAGAAAAGGAATGAGAAGATAATATATGACATTAACAAAATTTGAGTTTTGTTATCATCTAATAATAACCATAAGGGCTTGCTCGTATTTTATCGGCTCCTTTCTCAGGTAGCCTTTAAATATAAAATTTCACTATATGTTTCAGGTTTGGCAAAGAACAACCGAGTCGTGATTGTGGCTCTTTATCCATTAGTGAAGGAAAGTTTCCAGCTATATTATGATTTAACAGAAATCATAACTATTCTGTTTGATAAGTTCATAGAACTATCAATCCCCGACTCTGTAAAAGTTCTTGAGATTTTCTTCAGAATTAATAAGCAATATGAGGAGCTCGAGCAGTTTTACGATTGGGGTAAAACAGTTGGAGTTGCACGCACTTCTGAATATCCAGATATTGAGATCATTCCACCGAAGAAACTTGAGCGTATGGATGACCTTATACGAGAAAAGTCCTTCAGAGAACAGAACAGGAAGGCGGCAATACGTAATGAGCCAACTACTGAGCATGTTCAAGAAATTGAAAAGCAGGAAACTAAAACTGAACCCGAAGAGGACATGAATGCAGTTAAGGCATTACCAGCACCAGAGGTATTGCCCAAAGAAACAGAAGAAAATATAGAGGAAGATGACAAGAAAGAAGTGAAAACCCAAGAAGTAGGAGATTTGTTGAACTTGAGTGAAGATGTTCCAACTACGGAAGAACATGGAGATCAACTAGCTTTAGCCCTGTTTGATGGTGGTCAAGCAACGACCAATCCTGCAACAAGCATTTCACCATGGCAAGCATTCAACGATTCAGGAGATTGGGAGACAGCACTGGTTCAGTCCGCAAGCCACTTGTCAAACCAGAAAGCTTCGTTCCCCAGAGGCCTTGACACATTAACACTTGATGGCATGTACCAACAAGGAACAGTGGCACAGGCAGTAGCCACCTCAGGTGTTGTGGCTACTGGAAGTGCAAGCAGCGTAGCATTTGGCTCAGCAGGACGGCCAGCAATGTTAGCATTGCCTGCACCTCCAACCGCAAATGGTGGAGCTAGTACAGCCGCACCAGGCACAGATCCTTTTGCAGCATCACTGGCAATAGCTCCACCAGCATATGTTCAGATGTCAGAGATGGAGAAGAAACAGAGACTACTGGTGGAAGAGCAGTTAATGTGGCAAGAATATCAGAGAAATGGAATGCAAGGACAGGTAGCATTAGCCAAAGCACAACCAAACCCTTACCCACATAACATTGGTGGTTACAGGCAAACCTTCTAAAACTTTCACTGATAAGATACACAACAATGTAATGTCATTTTCCATGTGGTCAGCGGTATCTCAGTACAAAGACAAGTCATGAAATTGTACAGAAAGAAAGTGGCATTCTAGAAGAAGAGGTATGCAAATTCACATCTAATCAATGTCTGCATTGCCAGCTTTCTCAGAAAGTCAACTAAGCTACGATATTGAAATATGAGAACTGCAAAACTACATGTAGACAACATCCATTATCAGTGTACAGAAAGTGAAATTTTCTTAAAACAAATCGCTAGTGTCACGTCATTCTTTTTCCTTCTTTTCTTTCTTCAGTTTAAAGTGGTTACTCAAGCTGATATATACATACTGTTGCATTTTACATCATAAGAAATAATATATTAACCACGGCAATGAATGATAGCTAATGCTAATTCTTGTTATTAGTATCTTAATGAGGAATGAAGAAAATTACTAAGTAACACATAATTTAGAAGACAGACCTAAGAGTTACAAACTGTGCACAGCAAAACAACAACAACAACAACAACTACGCCTCAGTCCCAAACAAATTGTGCACAGTAATCAGCTCAAATCATTTTTGCAATCATCTAGGACTAATCTCTACACAGTTGATGAACATATCAAGGTCATAATGAAAGGTTTCTGAAACTTGGCAGCTTCATGTTAATCCTGCTTCTTTACGGAGAGACCCAACTGCATTCCTACAGATACCAGGGTCTCAAGTGATCTTGCACTATTTTCCAAGAGATCCTCGTCTATCTTTATGGAATCCTGTACGTTTCCACAGATCAGATGCCATGCAAATCACTAAACAACAGCAGAATAGTAGTTTCATAAAACAAAATATTTCCATATTTTTGCTTACTACTCCCTCGAAGGAATGCCGCCTCCAAATGTACAACTAGATTGGACGCAACTGACAAAAAAGAGGGAAGGGAAGGGAAGGGAAGGGTGATGAATTCTATGTATAGGTACACAAAATATGTAATGTGGAGTGAACATTGTAAGTGTTATCAAAGGCGAAAAGCGCAAAAAAGCTCTAAGGTCTATTGGGGCTTTAAGCGCAAAGCGAAAATAAAGCATGGGCTTTAATGAAAAAAGGCGCAACTGGAGAAAAAGTAAAAATATGTATATGTAATCCAAGACCAATAATTATAAGCATAAATAACAAATATATGGACAAAGAAATTAAAAAAAAATTACGACAAAGTGAAATATCAATTGCTTAGTGTTGCCTTTTCAGGATCACACTCATTGGCAAGGAAAAGTATGCCTTAGAGCCTTGATGCGACACTGAAGCGCTCGCAAAGCGAGGCGAATCGCTCAACATGTTTTGAGCCTCGCTTCAGGGTTTAAGCGCGCCTTTGACAACAATGCACTAAGCTGGCTAATCTTATGAGGCAAGTAATTCACCATCAATACCTAAAACGTTTTTGGTAATTACTGTAAACAAATGCCAGCTTCTGTTGAATGTTCTCGTTTTTAATCTTGTCTAATCTTGTGACCACACATCCATCATAGTATCCGTATCTTCGCAACACTGACTTTCGAGGCCCAACATTTATGCCTGTTTAACATTATTGGACTTACAACTGTTCTATAAACTTGTGTTTTACTTTGGCAGGCATCCATCTATCCCATAACAACTCTGGACACACTTCAGCACATCCTATTTTGATTCTTTGTGTAATATCTTCATCTACCATACCATTCTTCTGGAGCATCGCGTCTAGATATATTAAATGTTTGCATTTACACCACAAACCCATCTAATCTCACATCAACTTCACCCTTATGTTGGCTAAACTTGAGCGCATATATTCAGTCTTACTTTCACTTATCTTAAAACACTTTCTTTTAGAGTGCTTCTCCATAACTCATGCTTTTGGTTGACAGTGTCGTTAGTTTTTTCAATTAGCACAATATCGTAAGCATATAGCATACAACATATGACCTCATCCTGTATGGTATTAGTTAGCTCATCGATAACTAGTTTAAGCAAGTAAGGGCTCAGTTCTGATCCCTGGTGTAAGATCACGGTTACTGAAAAATATTGTGTCTCCAACTGTGATCCCACACTAGTGATGGCTCCTTTTATACATATCCTTTATGGAAACACAAAATATATATTAGTGGAATTTTTTTTTATAACACGTGAAACTGAAATAGATGTTTCAAAAAATGCACTGTTTATTACAATGAACCAAATATTCCTCTAATGCATATTCACAAAATTATTCAGTGATTTATCATCGTTACAATCCACATATTATAATCCATGTATAAGTTGTTTGTGAACCAAATCACCCTAAATTACTAGACACTTATTGGAATACAAGGCGCGTATATAGTCGTATGTTATAGCTTAAAGTTAACCCATGTAGTTCTACAAGAGGATGATCAGAAATATTTACCCATAGAAGAGTCCAGAGAGTCTTAAATTACCAGAGACGCTAGACAGGATTCCAAGTAGAACCTACTCTCTCTCTCCCTCTTTTTCTTTTCCTTTTTGTTTTTCTTGCAGCAGTCACCTATAAACCTCATATATCTTCGAAACGCCACACCAACTTATACCAGTTACAAGTTATGGAATTTTTCCTTCTTTCTTCATATTATTGAAAATTATGGATCTATTAGTCATTGTTAGATCCCACACCCGTTGGGGATTTAAAAATGAGTCTCCTTATATGGTCTTCGGAAATCCTCACCTCAGGAGCTAGCATTTGGGGTTGAGATAGGTTCAAGATCCATTTTTATCGGTCATTAATTCAATATGATAAAAACATAATACCATCCAATAAGCAATGCTATCTCGTAGAGGTATTATTCTATACTGACTAAACTAAATTAGAACCTAAGCAGCTGGACAGTTTATTTATTTTCATACATCTATAATTTCATGCTCACAAGACCAAAGTGGTGTTGTGTTAAGAGACAAACTGGTCTCCATATCTTCTACTTGCAAAATAGATTACTCACATAGGTTTTATAAATCCTAGTGGCAGTTTATAAACTCTTTAAACCCATATTTCCTATGACGACAACTCTTTGGTTCAAGCCAAATCGTTCAACTTAGTGGTGGCCCAATAGATAGAAAAAACGGTTACCCATCCATATTATCCATTAAAAATGGGTTGGATAATGAACTTTTTAAAAATGGGTCAAATATGGATAAGATCCATATTATCCACTTAAAAAATGGATAACCAATGGGTTTAACTTTTACATATGCAAGGACTCAAATTGGGGGTTCCTCAAGTTTAAGAGAGTAAGAATTCCCCCAAAATTGATCATATTCAAAAAGCCATGGATAATATGGATATCCATATTATCCGCCGGTAAACCCATCTTCTCCCGTATTAAATATGGGTTGGGTCGGATAATTTATCCGTTTTTGCATTACCCATTTTTGACCTACCCATATCCGACCGACCCGCCCATTTGCCACCTCTAATTCAACTAAACATACATGATGAACGTCAAGAACATGCATTGAGATATCACCAGGATTGTCCGTGCCCAAAATGAGCCCACTAGAGGGGCAGATGTTACTCTACCAGGACATAAACACTTGGTATATTTTCTATGCTGGCAGAATACTTAAGTCTTTTTGATATAAAAGAAAAAGTGTATTACCTTAACACGAAGGGGTCGTTTGATAGGAGGTATAAGAATAGTGCTGAGTATTAGTAATGCTGGGATTAGTTATGCTGCCATTAGTTATGCTGAGAATATTTCTTATCCATTGTTTAGTTTGGTGTATTAAAGCATTGCATAATTTCTACAAAAATTGGTTGTTTACAAAAATACCCTCCACATTCTTTAACTTTGTACACTATTTTTTCCATGGCCAAACCGTACAGCGAGAAGAAAGAGCAGCGTTGTTTCTATAAAATATAGCAGGAAGTATTTGGAATAGGTTTCGAGGGATTTGAGGGGAAATTATGTCTTTAATGTTTATGCAAATATTAAAACCCCTTGCATTGCTAATACCATGGTTTGCTATGTATTAGTTATACATGGGGCAATACCAAATAGGATGTATAACTAATACAAGTATTAATTATCTTGTATTAGTTATACATAGGTTGAAAAAATATACCAAACAAGGGATTAGTAATGCACGAAGCTAATGCTTGCATTATTTTTTCTAATACCTCCTACCAAACGACCCCTAAAAGCATGCCACAATATGATTTATATATACTCTAGTAATAGTAACATATGGGGATGTAAAGGTACTTGAGCAATGTTTCACATAACCAACAAAACCAAGGTTACAATAAAAGCGATTATCACTTGAGGATTTCGAAAGGGAAGGGCAAAGCATTTGAAAAAACTTCAGATGATAAAAAACAAGCTTAAACATCATGAAATCGGCGGGACTAGAATAGTTCTACAGCAAGATTTCACAATGTAGCTTGCAAAATAGAATTTTCCAAGTCATTTTCAAGTAGAAAAAAATGCTTGTGCACCTACCTTTTCAAAGACACAAATTACAGTACTTCCACCAAAAGAAAAATATCCAAACTGCAACCATGAAAAAGGAATATGAATTAGACATCAAACAGGATAATTTAATTATAAGGCAGCAAAAGTCCCACGTCATAAGTACTGTACCTCATCCCCTTTCTTAACATAGTCACCCTCCTTTCTGGAGAAATTAATGCTGCCAACCATTGTTGCTCCAGTTGCAACAAATGCAACCTGCAGTCAATTAAGCAAAGCTTCTTTCACCAAATTGAGCATAATAAGACACAGTAAAGGCATAGAGTTCTGGCGGAGGCTAAGGCAGCATGGCTAGGGTTGAAGTGGTGTATTTCACAGGGCTTCCAAAACATTTCCCTTGAATGTGACTCTATGGTAGTAATCAATATGATTAAAGGGAACACAAGATTAGCGTGGTAAATGAAGGATACTATTTTGGATACTAAACAACTACTTCAACAAGTAAATTTTGAGGTCCAATATTGTTTTCAAGAGGCTGATCAAGTAGCAGATGCTCTTGCTAAATGGGGCATTGAGGAGAATGAATCCATTTACCTCAATCCTAGAGATCTGCCCAGGTGTGCAGCTGGACCCTATTTGATGGACAAGGCCGAAATGGCTTCAATAAGGCATAAGCAAAGGATGAACATGCTGTCTTAAGTTTTTGTTTTTGTCGCAGGTTTGTTTTGGAGAAATCTGATGTATAAGGGTACTATCTTGCACAGGATCATAGGAGTGTTTATAACTTGGATTATGAATCTTTGTACTTGTATATGGCCCTGGTTGTGATTACAGGGATCTTTTGTTGAACAGGGGCTAGGCTGATGCCCTTCTCTGTTACGCTGTAATTTTTTGGTGATTAATATAACGACTACACCTCCTAATGGCGTAAATTGTATTTAAAAAAAAGGGGCATAGAGCTCGATATCTTAGCCAACAATCTGGCAAAAGCAGTGGTTCAGAATGCTGACTCAACTTAGAAGGGGTATTATCAATTAAGCATTATATCAAGTATCGTTAGAGCTACTATAGACAGAAAAGGGAAGGAATGAAACTTTAGCGCGAAGATTAATTCAACACCTTAGAGACTAACACGTTAATGACTCAAAAATAGCCTCAAGGAGACGATAGAGTGTCGAGTTATTCTCATGTGGAGAGTTTCTAAAAAGACTAGCTAAATTTATCTAAAAGGAAATTCAAAATAGGAGTCACACAAACAAAGTGGCCTATGAATCTGATAACTGTATCGATGAGATTGTGACTAGATCCCTTGCTTCGAATCAAAAACGGCCTAACGAGAGAAATGTTAAAAGATAATGATCAAAAACCTCTTACTGATAAAGAAGAGGATAGACGTATCTTCTGAATATTCAGATATTTATTATGTCCACTTCGGTTGGATATTTCAAAGAAATCTAGGTAAAAAAACAAGCATTCATCTTATTGACAGCAGTATCAGAATTAATTACTTTTAACTAGCATGGCTGATAAAGGATAGCGGGACAATATTAACAAAGCAGTACACAACTTTTTCAAGAAAGAAAGATTATGTGTAAAACTGGAGTCAACTGCATAAAATGACATACCTTCCCGAAGTATTCTGTGGAAATTATAGCCACAACCCTCTTATTCTCTGTGAAAACATTGCAGTATTTGCTATTCACAGCAATAGGATTCACCTAGAAAAAAAGAAAAAGGGGAGTGAGGTGAGTGGAACAACATGAACCATTTAGGATTAAAAACTACTCTGATAAAGAAGCAGCAATTCGCTGCCAAGATAAGCTACATTTAAGGAAGCAATATATTTTACATACCGTATATAGGCATCCAGGTATTTCAATAAATTTCTCAATAGTTCCAGAGACAGGAAAGTGGAAACGATGATAATCCTGCAGTTATTTGGTATAGCATATCCAAAAAGTGTAAATCAGAATAGAACAGTGGAAATTTACTTAACCAAAAATATTTTAATATTGAGAAATCTTAAACAGAAATATTCAATATTGAGAAATAGCTCTGTGAGAAAGCACGGGAGAAAATATATTATTGATATTAGATGATAAATACAATACAAGAGGTCCCTATTTATAGCTATACACTACAAGGAGATATTACTCCTCTTCCAATGTGGGACAAGACTACACTATNTTACACATGTAACTAATACGAGAACCAGTAAGAGACTTAGTGAAAATATCTGCTAGTTGATCATTCGACTTTACAAACTTTGTAACAATATCTCCTGAAAGTATTTTTTCTCTGACAAAGTGACAGTCGATCTCAATGTGTTTAGTCCTCTCATGGAACACCAGATTTGACGCAATATGAAGAGCAGCTCGGTTATCACACACTAGTTCCATCTGGCTGATTTCTCCGAACTTTAACTCCTTGAGCAACTGCTTGACCCAAACTAACTCACACGTCGC